CTGTCAGGCTTCTAACCCTTATCTTTCCTCCCTAAAATTAATGGGTTGGGTGATGGGCTGGGTATTGCTGACATCTGAGAGATCCACAGAACATACCTGTCTGAAAAAAAAAAATCATAAAATGCTATACAACAAAACCAAGTAATTCATTAAGAAAACAGCCCTCAAACATGTTTTCTCCGCTGGGGCTGGGGCCTTGTGTCCTTGAGACCAAGTAGTCATCAGCCAGTGTCCATCTACAAGCCCTTTCTATGAGTCAGCAACCATGAATCTCAGCTATCAATTGTCTTGAAGTCAAGGACAGGTTGATCCGCCTGTGGATCACAGGCCCACATGGGTCGTTTTAATATTCAAGTGCTGTGATCCAAATACAGATAAATGGCTCTCATTATCAACCCTAGAATCATGTGCAGCAAGCTGCTAGTGGCCTTGGAGATGTGCACTGTGACTTCTTGGAAAAACAGAAGTCATTAAATCCTCTTCACCCATTTTCAAGGTACAGAAATGGGCTAGAAGTAAAAATTCTTAGATGAGAAAAAGAAAATCATAGACATGTAAGTATGCTGATTTATAAGAGAAACCTTTGAAAGAATCTCCTAAAGGGACTTCTAGCATTATGACTCTACTTTAAAATAGGTGACTCCAAGCAGTACTTCAAACAAGTTCAGGTAACTCATGGAAAGGCCACGTTTGTAACAGAGATTGGCAAAGTGAATTGCCGGCAGATCTGCAAGAGAATTTGAGTTTTCAAATCACCATGAAGCAGACACTAATTATTACACAGCCTGAAACTGTTACTCATTTCCATTTTTCTTTTTCCTTTTCTTTTTTTCTTTTTTTTTTTGAGATGGAGTCTTACTCTGTCACCCAGGCTGGAGTGCAGTGGCTCGATCTTGGCTTACTGCAACCTCCGCCTCCTGAGTTCAAGCAATTCTCCCACTTCAGCCTCTCGAGTAGTAGCTGAGATTACAGGCATACATTACCATGCCTGGCTAATTTTTGTATTTTAATAGAGACGGGATTTCACCATGTTGGCCAGGCTAGTCTCAAACTCCTGACCTCAGGTGATCCTACCACCTCAGCTTCCCAAAGTGCTCAAATTACAGGCATGAGCCACCGTACCCGGCCACTCATTTCCTGTTAGTCTCAGTATTGACTAACTTTATCTGCTGCTCAAAAACTAAATACTTCTGCTCTCTTTTTTTTTTTATTTGTGTTTTCACATTGTTTCATTTGGACGTGTCTCAATCTCTCTTTTTAAAATATTTATTATTTTAAACGAATTTGTTTGGAATTCACATCTGGAATTCACATTCTGTGAATTAAACATGAGGATGCCTTTAAGGAAGTAAGAACGGGAAGGATGTGAGATGCCCTTAGCCAGTTGGGTGACTGAGTTCTGCTCTTTACAGTTAAGAAGAAACTCGAATACCACCCACTTGCACATGTTGCTCTTGTAGGACCCAGTGAATGAGCATACTTGGTGATAACTCAGACCTCTAGTTAAGGCTGGGGTCAACGGCACCATTACCTTCCTTCATTAGCTCCTGATTAGACAAGCTCCTCTGGGTTCCTTAGGGCTGGGTCCACCTTCGATCATTTTATAAAGGTTCTGCACAGCCCTTCTTGCCTGATCATGTGGATCCCTGACACCTTCCTCCTTCCTTTTCTACACTCTCAGTTCTGTGAAGCACACCAGTGATACAAGGGGACGTGGCACTAGTAGAGCCAGTGTCTTCACATATTCTCACGTGGTCTTGATGATCAGAACATGCTCTTTTATTCCCTGCCATAATTGAAATCTGCCCCTTTTCTCATTTACTTTTTCTCTGATTTTCTTACACTACCAATTGGGTTTGCCCCGCCCCTCCCTGGCACACTTCTGCACCATGGTTACCTTGGTTATCACACATCCCGACCAACATGCCGGTTCTTCATCAAGCTGCCAAGTGGTCTTCAGGAATGTTAACAACCTACAGTTGCCAGGCACTGTGGCTCATGCCTGCAATCCCAGCACTTTGGAAGAACAAGGCAGGAGGATCCCTTGAGCCCAGGAGTTTGAGATCAGCCTGGGCAACTTAGTAAGTCTACAAAAAATAGAAAAAATTAGTCATAGGTGGTGGCATATGTCAGTAGTCCAAGCTACTTGGGAGACTGAGGTGAGAGGATCACTTGAGCCCAGGAGGTCAAGGCTGCAGTGAGCTGTGATTGTGCCACTGCACTCCAGCCTGGGCAACAGAGTGAGCCCTTGTCTCCAAAAACAAAAACAAAAGAAAACAACCTACAGTCTTATTTGCACTTTGTTCTTTTTTGAGGAAGTTAAGGTAAATACTGTATTTGATGTCTTGATTGTTCTCCTTTCCATGATGGACTGGAGGCCCATGCTTTCTCCTCCTCACAGGACTGTAGAACTCCACTGTGAGATCACATCTTTCCAATCTAGATGATTCTCCTGGAACATCTTACCCTTGCCTGTGTTGTTTGTGGTTTACCTTGTGTGGAAGCTCTTTTTTTTTTTTTTAAGAAAAAGTTGTTTTTTTTTTGTTCTTTTTTTTAAGGCAAAAAAAAAAAAAAGTTTTTGCCTTACTTTTAAAAGATTTCTAAAAGGGGCAGCAACAAACATTCAAAATCCCCACCCTTCTCCACTGTTTGTAATTTTCCATCCCAGTCCTTATGATGGTGTTATTAACATGTCTGTTTCATCCATTTAGTCCATCAGCTCGCTCCGCCCTGTGTTCTGGAAGATGTCTTTGTGGGTCTCCTCTGACAGGCCTAGGCGTCCTGCTTTCAGCCACACTCTGCCTGTCTTTACAAGCTCCCACAACCCTCTGGTTTCTTCCCTGGCCCTCCTGCATTCTCTTCAGCCTGGGAAGGAGGACCTGCTTGGTTCTTTAAGTCTTTTGTTTTGTTCTTTCCCTTTAGAACCTTCTTGACGTTTCTGGGGAGAAAGAAAAACAAAAGAGAACAAAACAAGACAAGCCTCCGTCTCTGGTGTACCTTTCTCCATCACCAGAGTCACTGTCTGCTGTTCATAAGCATTTGGTAGCTCTTCTGAAGTCTACTTAATTCTTTGTGGTTGTTTTCTCTCTCCCTCAGTTCAGCTTCCAGTGATAAGTGGTTACTATTACCGTGAGGAATAGTGTTAGGAGGATAATCTACCCTTGGTATTTCACTTAAATTTAGAAAGCCGATCCGAGCTGGGTGCGGTGCTCATGCCTGTAATCTCAGCACTTTGGGAGGCCAAGAAGGGAGGATCACTTGAGCCCAGGAGTTTGAGACCAGCCTGGGCAGCATGACAAAACCCTGTCTCTAGTAAAGAAAATACTAAAATGAGCACCATGCATGGCCACTGTCTTGCTGCTGCTATTCGGTAGACTGGGTCATGGGAAATTAACACTTTCATCTAGAATGGGGTCCATTTGGTTGAAGAGAGGGTGAGCTATACCATTACATCCTGATTTCCAACATGATGTGATTCAAATCACAATGTCATTATGCAGCATCTTTCATGCCTCTTTCACTGTTCATTTGCCATGGCAGGCAGTCAATTTACCAGATTCTGGCTTTGTCCTTTCATATCTACCACTTTGTTCTAGGCACGAAATGACAAGAGCCTGAGTTATGGAAGTTGCTTGCTGCCTGGCTTCCTCGCCCAGTCTTCCATCTTCAGCTTATCATGAACATTTGTGTCTGAGTGATTCTTTAGTGGTAAAACATGAGATCGCATCAAAACTTCACACAGTGAAAACATTTAGTAGCTCCTTTCATATTCAGAGTAACATGTGAACCCACTACCTGGGCACACCTGGGCTGTTTCAGGCTCCTTGGCTTCTATGGGACCTCTTATGTACATAATGAGAGCACCATGCTTTCTGTAGCCATGACAACTTAACACAGTCTGTTCCTCTTGCTTGGAATATCTTTTCTCTCCTTTGCTCAGTAAAGTCCGACAGGTGTCCTACAAGCACCTCCTCTAGGAAGCCTCACTAAATCTTACCTTTCTTTCCTGCACCTCTTCTTTCTTCCCTACACCTCTTCCCTTTCATATTCCTTTGGATCTAGGAATATGCTATTCCTCTGTCTGTCCTCATTATAGCACGTGGACAGCTCTGCGGTAATTGTCATGAACCTGTATGTTTCTGCCAGGGACCTGAATTGAGACTTCTAACCCAGTGGCTACCAAAGAGGATCTACTCAGTGAGCTCTTCCTAAATAAACGAGGAGCTCTGCAGCTCACATGTCCGTCACTGCTAAGACCATACCCCGGATTTTCTAAAAACACTTTGCAAACACAAAAAGTATTCCACTCTAGGTCATCCTTCAGCCTAGGGTTTTGTCCCAAATGTTTCTAACATCTTTTCCTCATTAAACATATTTTTACTCTTCAATCGATCAATTAAAAATACGTATACATACTGGCTATGTATTTAAAATATGCAGTTTGATCCCATAAAGTAAAATTTGTTCCAGTTTGTATACAGGGTTTCTCGTGTGACTTTCTGCTCAAGAAGGACTTGCAGCATTTTCTCAAAGTCCTGAGGAAGTTTTCCAAGGCACTGTTTCATGAGCAGCATCTAATAGATTTGTTATATTTATTTGCCTAATACCTGTCCAAGGCAGTTTAGTGTTTGTGCTACTATCAGATACAATTCAAAATGAAATTGTTTCTGTCAAAATTAGATGCATGCTTTGATAATTTAATTGAACATATATTTATCTTCATGTTCTTTATCAGACAAGGTACAGATATAGAAAGTAAATTTATTTCAGAAAAGTCAAATTGTTTAATAGCTTTGTTGTTATGTTTTGGTCAATATTTGAAAGGTTTATTTGTTTTTTAGTGGTTTACATTTTACTAATTGTTTACATATTTATTACATAAAATGTTTTCATTCTCACCATTCCTCCTGCACTCAGACTTTGTTAGCGTGTTTTTCATTTGCGTGTGTGTGTGTGTGTGTGTGTGTGTATATATATATATGTTCTTTTTTTCTTTTCAGGAGGAATGTCAGAACTACATCCGGGTGCTTCTGGTGGGTGGTGACCGGTTATTCACCTGTGGGACCAATGCATTCACACCTGTCTGCACCAACCGCTCGGTATGACTTCTTTTTGCACCTCAAAATAATTTAATATCAGAAGAAGCAAAACATTGTATTGAAACATTAGTTTTAAATGAATTTCTATACACCAAAGTGTGGCCATTTAATTCAAAAGCACCTTTTGTCAATTTGAATAAATTTTTAATTTATTGATGTATTTCTATTCAGGACCATCAATTAGATAAAGAACTAGAAATAAGTACAATTTGTACAATTAAACTTAAATATGTTTCTAAACTATTTCAATGAGCATTTTCCTCACCAGCGACTTTAAACATTAATCCTAAACAAATTCTTTTTTGTCTTATTCTGCTTTACGGTAGAAACACTGTTACTGTTGTTTATATTTATTAAAATTATTGAAATGGTCTAAAATCACCATCCACAGGAAGAAAAAATTAGTCTACAAATTGGATAAGAGGTTTGTTAAAAAAAAATAAGCAAACTAAGAAATTGAACCCTAGGCAGCATCCAGTTATAACTGACCCTCTTTCTCATCTTTAACCTGGCAATCATTGACAGAGTAATTTTTAGCTGCACACACCATAGCAGTAGCATAGTAGGGTCAATAGAACACATGTGGAATCTTCCTAATTTAGGGTATGAATGCAGTCTTCCTCAGGGAATATGATGAAGAAATACGTTCATTCCCTGGTTGCACAACTTTCTTCAAGGTCTTAATTGATCATCTGCTTTTCCTGTTCATGACTTCAGATTAGATTCAGTTATTGAGGGAGGAGATGATGATAAGGGTGTGATGCTCAGGGACTCTCCAGGTGCTGCACCCTTCCCTGCAGCACTTTTACCAGTGCAGTTGTTCAGTCCTCAACATCTGTCCCACAAGATCGCTACTCTTTGGAACCCCATTTTATGAAAGAAGAACCTGAGACATAAAGAGCTGAGGGAAATTAGCCAGGGCACACCTCTTACAGCAGAGCAAACTGTGCCTGTATCTGCTGACCTGACCCTTCTGCTCCAGTATCTCTCAGGCGAGAACCAAGAACCAGACTGAGTAAAGATTTCACCAGTGCCCAAGAGCTTTTCTCATTAAAGATTGGCTGGGAATCCAGCATTTGGGAAGCTGGATTCATAGGAAATGACTCCAAGACTCTTGAATACCTCTGAAAACTGAAAAAAAAAAAAAAAAAAAAAAAAAAAAAAAAAAAAAAAAAAAAGAAGGAAAGTGTTGGAAATGCAGGCCACATGGTGCTGATTATCCATACATCCTTACCTGTGAACACATTGTTCGAGATATTCATTATATTGTTCGCTTATATTGATATTGTTAGAATTATACATAAATCTTTATTATAATCCTATTTCTGTAAATATTGACACTGATTTTTAAGTTAAAGTGGAAAAGTGTGCAATACTTTTGTATTATAAATCAACCGCACATATACAATGATCTTATTTCTTACTGTGTGAGTATTCAGTGGTATGAGGTTCAGTAACTCTAAAGTGAGGAGAAAGAGACTGATTGACGGACTGTCTTACTGTGAGCCCAGTGGGCTGTTTTCATCGGTTTGAGTGTAAAAGTTGGTCATCTCTCACCAAGAGCCCCAGAGAGGCTGTTGCACAAGCATCACTGTGATTGTGGTAGATGTGACCCATAAGCATCCCTAAAGGGGCTTGTGCAGAGATAACTGCTTTCCTTCTCATCCTCCACAGTTGAACAACCTGACTGAGATCCACGATCAGATCAGTGGCATGGCCCGCTGCCCATACAGTCCTCAGCACAATTCTACAGCACTCCTCACAGCTGGCGGGGAGCTCTATGCTGCGACAGCCATGGATTTTCCAGGACGTGATCCTGCCATTTACCGAAGCCTTGGCATTTTACCACCTCTCCGCACAGCGCAGTACAACTCCAAATGGCTCAATGGTAGGTAGGCCTTCCGTCACTCCCACTTTTCCACCCCATTTGTTTTTGATTCCTGGTTATTAGATGCTCAAAAGCAATCTACAACAATCTAAATAAAGACAAATTCTTCATTCTTGAAAGAAATAAAAATGTAGCTTGTTCGGGACTCATGGTAAAAAGGACATCATGCTATTTAGGACTTGGAAGAGAACTGATATTCCCAACTGTCTAGATCATGATAATAGGGCTAATGTTGATATGACCACTCCTAGAAGCTAGTCGGGTTTTATTCTATATTTTTGTTTAATGTCTAAAAAATTTGACAGTTTGTCATAGATGTGTGGGTACTCTTGTGCATCACTTTTTTTTTTTTTTTTTTTTGAGATGGAGTTTCCCTCTTGTTACCCAGGCTGGAGTGCAATGGCGTGATCTCAGCTCACCACAATCTCTGCCTCCTGGGTTCAGGCAATTCTGCCTCAGCCTCTGAGTAGCTGGGATTACAGGCACGTGCCACCATGCCCAGCTATTTTTTTTTTTTTTTGTATTTTTAGTAGAGACAGGTTTCACCATGTTGACCAGGATGGTCTCGATCTCTTGACCTCGTGATCCACCCACCTCGGCCTCCCAAAGTGCTGGGATTACAGCCATGAGCCACCATGCCCAGCAGTGCATCACTTGTTAACTTTCTTTTTATGTGTCTAGAAATTGAAATTACTAACATGGCATGTCATTTTCACACTGTATAAAAGAATGTGTTTGTCTATAGGTAACTCCAAAAAGCTTGACAATTAAAATGTAAAAAATGAATGAACTCATATACTTAGAAGTTAGTAGTAGGCATCTTCAGCGTTTATTAATTCAGTGGCTCAAGAGTTAATAAGGAGACAGGTATTCACTGCCGTCTCTGCCATCCACAGTTCGGTAGATGGGTCCTCAGGCCACCACTGCTTGTGGTTGCAAAATTGTTGCTGCAATTTCAGGTATTGCATGTACATGTGGCAATATTCCCTGGAAGAAGAGTCTCATCCCTGTGCCCTTTTCATCTGTATATTTCTTTTTAAAGAAACCAGAAACCTTTAGAAGGCTTCTTTCAATTCAGGATCAGAACTTGATCACTTGCTCACTAAGCAATCAGAAGATGGTGACAACCATCCAAATTGAGGTTCACTGCGTACAAAGTCCTGATGTGTGTGAGCTGAAATGCAGCCCTCTGTATATCTGTGCATTCATGTGTGAGTGTGGTCACACACACACATATATACACACACCTACAAAGGCAACATGTGTAATCCATTGCCCTAGTTTGTATGAAGGTGAAATCTTGAGAATTGATAGACTTTTGCCACATATCAGCTAATTATGTAGACCAGAGTTTTTCAGCCTCAGCACTAATGATGTTTTGGGCCAAACTGTTCTTAGTTGTGGCATCGGGGTCGGGTCTTGTCCTTGCCATTGCAGGATGCTTAGCAGCATTTTCAACCTATATTTGTTTTATATGCCAGTAGCATCCTCCTCTGCCCAGTTGTGACAACAAAAAAATGTTTCCAGCAATTTTTCAGTAGCCCCGGGAGGGGTAATTGACTCTAGTTGAGAATCACTGGCTTAGACTCAGCATATATGCAAAACTATGGATATGTGTATATATACTCAATGCAAATATTTTGCCAAATAATACAGTCAACCTAACCATCAGAGTTTGGCTTTAAAAGACTGTCCTGTAGTAAAAAAGGATGTCCTTATCATTAACTTTCTCAAGTAAACTGAATGCCTCTATTGCCTCCAAAGGGAAACATGAATTGTTTTCCCAAACTGAGGCACTAACTAGATTTCTCCCATTAACATCATTCCATTGAACTGCCTCCACCTGAATCAACTGATTCTCTATGGATGGTCCGTTCCCTTTTGGCCCTGAAATTTTTGTCTGCGCAGCTTCAAGTTGTTCTATCTGTTTGTTGATTCTGACTGGCCAAGGAAGTTTCCACTTGAAAATCAAAAAGACTCCTTATCCTAATGAAGGCTTTGTAATTAGAATTTGCCAGAATCAAAGTAAAAAGTAATTGGGAGCACTCTCTCTTTTCCCACACTGATACCTTAAGAATATCCTGGAAAAAACATTCAGGTCATAGCTTGAGTTATAAACACCAGCTGTCTTCTTACACGTGACTCAGAGACCACCAGCTGATCAGGCGGTCAGCATCAGTCAGCCCCCTAGCTCTCAGCTTCTGTCAATTCTCCCTTTCCATTAGAGAGTCCTGTGATGCCATCCAGGTAATGGAAGAGCTAAGACAGTGTTTACCACAGTCAGGTAGGCATAACGTTGTTATTTGTTGTACAAAGATATTAATGTTTCCAATTCCTAAAACATTCTGCTGTTCATTTATAAGATCTGGTGACAGCAGAAATTGAAAGTAATTCAGAGGTAAACATGGTGGCTCTACCACTCAAGCCATTAGGGCAGCACAAATTGCCTGACAGTGAATAGCCTGCATTTCTCAGGAAAGCAGCATTCCTTCTGCCTGCCCCCACTCTCCTTCCCTGGCCTCCAAGACCCTCACTCCTAGGGTGGAAAGCCAAGAGCCCTGCCTGAGGACTCTGAGTTCCTGCATATGAAGTGCTATCTTTATACCTCTCCTGTGTTTTGTTAGGGCACTTTCTTCTGCTGCTGAACCCTGGGATACTATTTCCATTCCTGGTTGGCCCTGATTTGCTTCTCTAATTGACCCTCCATCCAGGATTGTGTCATTCTTATGCCTTCGCATCCTCATAACTTAGTTCCGACTTACAAGTGAGAACATACAATATTTGGTTTTCCATTCCTGAGTTACTTCACTTGGAATAATGATCTCCAGCTCTTTCCAAGTTGATGCAAATACTATTTTGTTACTATTTTATGGTTGAGTAGTAGCCCATGGTGTATACATATCACAGTTTTTTATTCCAAAATTGTAACTAACCTGCCTTACACCACGCCTGCCAACTGAGGACCATTCACAGATCTGCTCTCAGCTCTGACTTAGTCCATTTATGCGATGGTCACTCCCAGCGGGATCCTCCTTGTAGTTCTTTTAGCTCAGCCCCCTCCATTCATGTTAATTTCTTTGTTTTTCAGTTTTGGTTGTGGGCTCTGTATTAGTTTTCTAGGGATGTCATGACAAAGTATCACAGCCTGGATGCTAAAACAACAGACATTTATTTGCTGAAAGTTTTGGAGGCCGGAAGTCCAAGAGGAAGCTGTCAGCAGGGCTGGTATCTCCTGAGGCCTCTCTTTGGCTCGTAGGTGTCATCTTCTCCCTATGTCTTCTTAACATGGTCTTCCCTCTGCGTCTGCCTGTTTCCTAGTCTCCTATACTTATAAGGACAGCAGTTGTATTGCTTTAAAGCCCACTCCTATGACCTCATTTTAGTCCAATTACCCATGTAAAGACCCTGTTTTTTAGTGTACTTAAATTCTGGAGTACTGGGGGCTGGGACCTTAACATAAGTTTTAGGAGACACAACTCAGCCCAGAGCAGCCTCCATGATTCACCTCTTATCTGAAAAAAAAAAAAAAAAAAAAAAAAAAAAAAAAAAAAATCATCAATGAAGAAATTCATATCCAGCTAAACTAAGTTTCCTAAGTGGAGGAGAAATAAGATTCTCCTCAGATAAGTAAATGTTAAGTGACTTTGTTACCATTAGACCTGCCTTACAAGAGATCTTGAAAGGAACGCTAAATGTAGAAAGGAAAGACTGCTACCAGCTAATATAAAAACACCCTTAAGGCCGGGCGCTGTGGCTCACGCCTGTAATCCCAGCACTCTGGGAGGCCGAGGCGGGTGGATCACGAGGTCAATAGATCAAGACCATCCCGGTCAACATAGTGAAACCCCGTCTCTACTAAAAAATACAAAAAATTAGCTGGGCATGGTGGCGCGTGCCTGTAATCCCAGCTACTCAGGAGGCTGAGGCAGGAGAATTGCCTGAACCCAGGAGGCGGAGGTTGCGGTGAGCCGAGATCACGCCATTGCACTCCAGCCTGGGTAACAAGAGCGAAACTCCATCTCAGGAAAAAAAAAAAAAAAAAAAAAAAAAAAAAACCCTTAAACACCCAGACCAGTGTCACCATAAAGCAATGACACAAGCAAGCCAACATAACAACCACCTAACAACACAATGACAGGATCAAATACTAACCTTGAATGTAAACAGGCTAAATGCCCCACTTAAAAGGCACAGAGTGGCAAGGTGAATAAAGAGTCAAGACTCAATTGTATGCTATCTTCAAGAGACCTGTCTCATATGAAATGACATCCGTAGGCTCAAAATAAAGGGATGGGGAAATATCTACCAAGTGAATGGAAAACAGAAAAAAAAGCAGGACTTGCAGTTTTAATTTTAGACAAAACAGCCTTCAAACTAACAAAGATCAAAAAGACAAAGAAGGGCATTACATAATGGTAAAAGATTCAGTTCAACAAGAAGATGTATGAACCCAACACAGAAGCACCCTGATTCATAAAGCAAGTCCTTAGAGACCTTCAATGAGATTTAGACTCACACACAATAATAATGTGAAACTTTAACACTCCACTGACAATATTAGACAGATCATCGAGGCACAAAATTAGCAAAGACATTCAGGACCTGAATTCAACATTGAACCAAATGAATCTGATGTGGCTTTATGGAACTCTCCACCAAAAAACTATGGGACATACATTCTTCTCATTGTCACATGGTACATACTTTAAAATTGACCACATAATTGGACATAAAACAATCCTCAGAAGATGCAAAAGAATCGAAATCATACCAAGCGAATTTTCATGTTACAGTCCAGTAGAAGTAGAAGTCAAGACTAAAGAAATCATTCAAAACCAGGTAACTGCATGGAAATTGAGCAACATGCTCCTGACTGTGTAAATAATAAAATTAAGGCAGAAATCAAGAAGTTCATTGAAATTAATGAGAACGAAGATACAACATACCAGAACTTTTGGGACACAGCTAAGGCAGTGGTAAGAAGGCAATTTATAGTACTA